GCCTGCTTCTCCCTCTCCCACTCCCCCTGCTTGTGTTCCCTCTCGCGCTGTGTCTCTCTCTGTCAAATAAATAAATAAAATTAAAAAAAAAAAGTCTCTACACCCAACATGGGGCTCGAACCCACAACCCCGAGATCAAGAGTCACTTGCTCCGCTGACTGAGCCAGCCGGGTGCCCCTGTAATAGGATTTTAAAACCGACAGAAATAGAATAGTGGCCAGTGGGAATGGTAGCCCCAGAGTTGTGCGTGCGGTAGCCCTGGCCTCCCTCGGCCTCTGGCACCTGGGGCTCCCCATCGTCCCCTCAGGCCAGGCTCATCCCTGCTTCTGTGTCTTAGCTCCTTTATTCCTCCACCTAAGCAGGAACACCTCCTTTTGGCTGAGCCAAATTCCTCCCCACGTCCCATCCTCCAAGGAAGTCTCACCGTGAGCGCAGACTAATGGCCACCTTTTATTTGCGGAAGGCCCAGGGCACTGATGGTGCCCAGTGAGCCGCCTGCTTCCTTCCATCGGAAGGGCCACCAGCTCCTGCCTTCCCCTCAGAGCGAGGACCACAGCCTAGCCTGGGGCCCATGTTGCCTCGCATGGCCCCCCGACTTAGGGTTTCTCTCCAGCACCACCGTGAGCCCCGCTGGGAGGCTGGGTGGCCCCTTAGCAGCACCCGTGGCACCAGCAAAGGGCTGGGCGCACACGAGCAGCACTATGTCCTGGTGGAGCTCCTTCCCTGGATCTCTGGTCTGGCCCAGGCCCACCCCCTCCTCCAACCTAATGGCCCCTCCTGAGGTCACAGTCAAGGGGAGGTCTGAATGCGGAGTCAGGAGAGCACTCCTCTCTCTGCATGACCTGGGAAGCCACTCGAGTCCCACAGGCCTCAGTTTCCTCATCTGTGAAATGGGGCTGGCCAGACTTAACCCACAGTGTTGCCAAACGAGTCCGGCAGAGGCTACGCCCCTGTGGGCTCAGCGGCCCGCTGTGCTTCTAGAGCTCTGTTGGTGCTTGCTCCACTGAACTCCTGTCCTTCCAGGGGAAGGGGGAGGAGATGGCTGGCCTGGGCCACACACTCACGTCTTCACGTAGGGGTCCGAGTAGCCGTTGGCGTCCATGGCCGCCAGGTGGGCGCAGCGTACAATGCCGACCAGCAGGCCCTGCTTCTGTGAGCTGTACTTGAGGGAGATCAGGATCCGACCCCGCTCCTCCAGGGACTTGTCTTCGGTCTTGTCCACCTGTTGGGCAGGAAGCCACTTGGCTATCCTCACCTGCTCCCACACCCTCCCTCAGCCATGGGCTACTGAGGCGGTCTGCTGGCCCAGGGGATGGGGAGGGGTCACCTTGGCCTCAGCCCCCTGCAGGTGCTTCCTGGAGCCCCCTTGGGGAGCACCCAGAAGACAGAGCTTTGACATATTCCTAACCCCAAGGGGAGCAGGGAGGCAAAGAGGGGCTGCCTAGGCCTCAGGGATCAGACCTCAGCTAGAGGTGTCCCCCTCCACCTCCCTGCCCCAACTAGCCTGAGATTTTCCATTCCTTACCCTCCTGAGGCCACTTTCCACCATCTGGCTCCTGCTCTTCTGGAACTCCTTCTCCTACCCTCTGTCCACCTGGACACCCCCAGCTAGAGCTCCCAGGGCCCCTCCTTAGGCCTCTCTGCCAGGCTTCTCTCACTGAAGTCCCAGCCATGTCCCTTTGCTCATGATGGTCCTCTGCTTGTCACTAAAGTGATGCTCCATGTAGCTCCTCAGAAGCAGGGGCCATGCCTACACCTCTCTGGAGGTGGGGGTCCTGTGAGGCCAAGTGAGGGCCACATTCCCCAATTCCCACACCCACAGCAGACATGACTAATTGATTGCTGCATTTACTCTGAGCTCAAAGGAAGCCTCAGCATCTTTTAATGCTGGCAGACATTATTAACAGACCAGACTAGGCATGCAAGATTGAACGCTCTGCCTCTCTGGCCTGGGGCTCTGTGTAGATGGCCTCACTAAACAGTGATCTTGTGCTAGTTTGCGTGAGGTGTGAAAATTAAACAATATAAATGAGCAGGAGTGTTTTCAGCCATCTTTCTGGGGCTGGGACATTATACATTGGGTTGTTTCATAGAAAGCCCATTGAATTGGGCGTTGTTCAGTACTTACTGAGAATAATGTTTACACACCACGTAAATCTAAAATGTACCATCAAAATGTGTCTCTACCACCAGAGTACTCATCCTGAACTGCACTCCTGCGGCCACCATATGTCTCTGAATCTAGAGTGATGAGCACTAGCAAATTCAAGCAAGGCATGCCCATACCCCCCACGCAGCCATGTGCATGAACACGCACACGCACGCACCCCACATCCTTGAAAAGATGGCAGACAAACGCTCGCACACACATCCCTGCGCGTTCGTGTCCCCACACAGCTGTTTGTTATACCAGGGTTCAAAACTCCAACACAACTGTAGTAAGAGTTGATGGTGCCTTTTACAAGTGACATAGATCACTTGGGAAAACTGAGTTTTGGTTCGTGACTAATAATAAAATAAAAAAGGCTATACCCATCATACAAATGTCTATGAGTAGGAAAGAATGGGACAAGGGAATAAAATTTGATCAAATTATGCAAAAAGGCAGAGCTGGGATCTTGGCCTCAGGCTGACTTTTTCCCAGGGCTTGACTCGGGCCAGCCTGCACAGGGCATTTGTCCCAGCGCCTAGGCCCCACCAGGGAGGGACGGGTTGGCCGCTGGGCTCTGTCCTCTTGAACTTTCCCCTTGCCCAGGCCTGTAGGGGGGAAAATGTCCTAAAAAGGGAGCCCTGGAGGTGCCTGGGTGGCTCAGATGGTTAAGTGTCTGCCTTCGGCTCAGGTCATGATCCCAGGGTCCTGGGATCGAGCCCTTCATCGGGCTCCCTGCTCCGCAGGGAGCCTGCTTCTCCCCACTGCTCCTGCTCTCTCTCTCGCTCGCACTGTATCTCTCTGTCTCAAATGAATAAATAAAAAAAAAAAAAGGGAGCCCTGAACACTGGGCTGCTGGAAGGTCTCGGGACCCTGGGGCCTCCTGGTCAATGCCTCCCGGCCCTTCTGAACAGGGTAAAGGCCAGGCCAAGAGATGGGTAAGGGGAGAGGGGAGGGAGTAGGGGGAGAGGAGAGACACAGATGGACAGAGCTTGGGTGGGCTCAGCTGCTGCAGACAACAGGAGGCAAGATTGGTTTTGACATTATTTTCAAAAAATTGCAATTTCTAGGAAAGAAGTATTTTCTGTCTCCCCTAGGTAGCTCACAGACACCTCACGCCTATCACGTTCCAGTTGAGCTCCGGAGCATCCCCAGCTGCTCCTCCCACAGACTCCACATCACAGTGAGTGACCCATCGTCTTTCCAGGTGCTCCCCCCACCCACGTCTGGGAATGCTTGATCTGCCAGCATTTCTCTTCCTCTGCTGGGGCCCCGGCCCAGGCTGGGTCAGCCTTGTCCCCTCCCAGCCCTCCCCATCCTCAGCCTCCTCTCTCTCCCAGCCTCCACTCATCGAGCCTGCTAAACAGTCAGGTGCCCTCGCCCCTGCCTGGCATCCCCCAGTGGCCCGCCTCACTCCCAGCTCCCCACCCACCAGCCTCTGATCTCCCCTCCTAGGACCCAGTCCCATCCTGCTCCCTGCCCCACGCAGAGGGCATCTTGCTTGTGCCTCCAATGGCTTCGCCCCTGCTGTTCCCTCTGCCAGGAATATCCCCCGAACCTCCAGCAAAACCACTGAGCTCTCAGGCTGTCCATCGCAACCCCGATCCCCATCTGACATAGGCTCTGTTAGGGTCATTCACCTGGTCTGGAGTCTGTCTGCTGCCCAAGCTCCATGCAGCAGGGATTTAGGTCCGTTCCGCCAGCACCTGAAGCCGTGCCAGGCATCGAGTGGGTGCTCCCCGCAGGGAGGGCCCTGCACAGCCCGTGGACCCCGTCACCCACTCACCGGCAACTGCTTCTCCAGGCAGATGCTGAACGTCTTGGTGTGGTTGGCTTTCAGCTTCTTCAGGGGCACGCGCGTCTCCCCGATGAACTCGTTGTGGCGGAATTTGTCCTCATCGCACACGGAGATCCTGGAGGACGGGCGGCACGGCCTGCTCTTCAGACACACAGGGGTGCTCCCGCTTTGCTTCCCAAGTCAGCAGGGATTTGCGGGGGCAGGGGGGAGGGGTGGCTGCAGGTGAGGTGGGGGAGGGGGGGGGGGCAAGGAGTCTGGGGCCCTCACCCACCGCAGGGTCTTTCGAATCATGTCTTCGTCCGTGATCCCGTAGTAAGTGAGGGTCTCATTCCACGTGGGGTTCAGAGTGTTTCGGAGAGTTTTCGTTCTGAGTTTATTTGCCTGGTGAGAGCAGAAAAGATGCTCTGAGCATCAGGGAGCTCAAGGGGCAGAATAATGGCCCCAAAGATGGCTTTGCCCGGTCCCCAGAAACTGAATACGCTGAGGGGAATCAAGGTTGTTAATCGGCTGACTTTATCTTTTTTTAAAAGATTTTATTTATTTATTTGACAGAGCGCAGGGGGAGGGGCAGAGGGAGAGGGAGAGGGAGAAGCAGGCTCTCCACTGAGCAGGGAGCCCGACGCTGGGCTCCATCCCAGGACCCCGGGATCACGACGCGAGCCCACAGAGGCAGACACTTCACCGACTGAGCCAGCCAGGCGCCCTCAGCTGACTTTAAAACACGGAGATTATCCAGGTGATCTGGGCAGGCCTCATGCCATGTGATGACAGGGCCCTTGGAAAGAGAGGGCAGGAGAGGAGCGCCAGAGGGACACGGAAGGAAGGAAGAAGTTCCATGGGGGTGTTGGCGAGGAAGATGGAGGGAGGGGCCGAGAGCCAAGGAGTGTGGGTGGCCTCTAGGCGCTTGAAAAGGATGGGAATCGCATCTCCCCAAGAGCTCCCAGAACGGACTGTGGCCCCGCCGCACTGGACTTGACCCGTGTGGGAGCCGTGACACCTCACCTGCGGCCCTGGAAGGCAGGAAACGTGTGGTGCAGGCCGCTGAGAGTTGGAGGTAATTGGCTCCTGCAGCTCTCGGAACCTGGAACCGGGGGGGCTCCCCGCCGCCGGGTCCCAAGTGTGTGCTGAGGGGGGTGCAGAGGTTCCGCAGGAGGGGCTGGGGCTGCCGGGGGGCTCTCTCACATAATTCCTTGCCTGTGCGCAGGCCGTGCCCTCTCCCTGGAACGCCGCCTCTCCTAGGAAAGGCCTGTGGGGTGGCGTGTCCAAGCTGCCACGCTGCTTCCCCTCCTTCCCCTGCGCTTCTCTAGCTCTCGGTCCTCGGGCTCCTCCCGGTCCTGCCCGTGCAGACTCAGCACCATGACTGCGTCCCCTGGATGACTGCCACCTCAGCCCGGCTCTGAGGGGAGGCAGGCCTGCGTCCCGAGCCCCGCTCCATCACCTGCCTCAGCCCCGTGCAGCCCAGCAGCTTACTTACCCTCTGTGAGCGGCAGGCTCCCCACTGTATAAAAGGGCATCATCATATCCCAGGAGCCTGCTTTTCAGAAACCACTGCCCTATGGGGGAAATCCCGTCTGTGTGGGAAGATCCCTATGACTCAGCCTTGCAGTATTGCCGATTCTAGGTCCCGTGAGTCTAGGGACTCACAGCCGTTGAGCTCCTGAGCTGGGGACACTGCCCTGGTCACACTGCCCTCACAGCCCTGGGAGTCCTAGCTGCAACAGGAGGACATCGAGGCCTGGAGCCGTGAGCAGCTTCCCTGGGCATACACAGGCGGTGGGCCACTGCCCTGCCCTCCCGGAGGCGGAGTCATCGCCTCTGTCGGGTGGCCCTCCTGGACTGGCCGGGAGCCTCAGCCCTTACACACTGGCCCAGAGGGCTTGGGTCTCAGGCTCAGCTCGGCCCCCAGTAGCTCCGGACTCCTCAGCCTGGGCGCAGGACTGCTCAGGTGGCCTGGAAGAGTCAGTGGCGAGGGAGGCGCTCTGCCCAGGACAGCGTTCCCGTTACAGGCTCCTCTCATCAGGCCACTTGAAGGCCAGGAAGTAATCCCCCAGCTCTTGGTTTCTTAGAAAGAGGCCGGGTCAAGAACACCAGCCACTGCGCCCTGCTGCTCACGCTCCTGTGTCTTGGGGCCCATGTGCCCCTGCCCCCTCTCTGGTCTCCTCTTGGAAGCAAAGCTGCTAGTCTCTAGTTGGTCCCCATCCCCTCCCCAGCACCGGGGCCCACATAACCTGCCCCTTGAAAAGTCATGGGTCCCAGACCCAACTCTGAAAAGATGATGTAACCCTCCCTCCCATGAAATTAAGAATAAAACACCACTGGGGCGCCTGGGTGGCTCAGCTGGTTGAGCGACTGCCTTCGGCTCAGGTCATGATCCTGGAGTCCCGGGATCGAGTCCCGCATCGGGCTCCCTGCTCGGCGGGGAGTCTGCTTCTCCCTCTGACCCTCCTCCCTCTCATGCTCTCTGTCTCTCATTCTCTCTCTCTCAAATAAAAAAAAAAAAACTCTAAAAAAAAAAAAAAAGAATAAAACACCACTGAACTGTAAGACACATGTAAGAAGTCTAAACACTTCTGATCTTCCAGTGCTGAAGGTCACCTTGATGCTTTTGTTTAATAGCAAATTTTTTTCTGAAAAAACTTCTCTTTCCCTAGGCGTACCAGTGCCTGGTCGGCCTGCTGGGTCACCTATACAGGAACAAGGGTTCTGTGGCCCAAGAATTGGGCAGAATCTATCCACTCATTCCCCCTTGTGGAGTGTCGCAGGGCAGCCCATCAACATGTTAAAGGCTCTGATAAGTCCTAGAGTAAAGGAACCGGTTTACCAAGGCTTCCCAATGTTATCTGGCCACAGAGCCCTTTATTCCCCACCCTCCCCACATAGTAACCTCCAACTGAGTCCGCTTCTTATAAAATGCTGGCTTAAAAGTCTCTGGAGGGTTTCCCCAATTCATCAGTCAAGTCAGGCCGACTTGAGGTTCCCGAGAAGTCTGGGGGCTGTGGGGCTGACTGGGTGCTCTGGGTGGAGGTGAATCGCTGAGGCCCCATCAACTTGCTTGGTCTGTGAGGGGGTAGGGGACGTATGCCCCTCCCTGGGTGTCCCAAGCTCAGCCGGGGCCCCGGTCACAGCAGGCAGAGCTGGTTGGCGGGCCTGGGGTCGACCCCCTCACCTTACTGGCTCCCGGCAGCAGATGCAGCTTGACGTAGGGGTCTGCCAGCCCATTGTGGTCCATCGGCTTCAGGCCCTGAGTGGAGGTGAATGGCAGAAGGTGTGAAATGGGAGCTGGAGACACGGAGCAGCCAGGCACCTCGCTGGGCAGGCATCCCTTGTCCCCAGGCCTCCTGGCGGGGTCCATTCATTTGCAGAGCCCCCCCCCCCACAGGCCCACACTCTCACAACAGGGAGGATGGCTCAGTGCTGGTGTGCTCTGCCTTCCCCCCAAATGTCCTGGCCCAGGGCAGGTGTCATGGCGTGACTTTGTCAGACCAGCCTTTCTCGTTCTTGTCTCCCTTTCGTGGAGGCCAGGTGACCCCTCCTCTGAATGAGCTCCTCATTATCTTGCTTTGCTGAGGCCCTTCCTTCTTCTGGATTCCCCTTCCCCCACTCCCCCAAATACGGGGACTTCCCTCACTGATCCTATGTCCCCGTGACCCTCTGTCCCCTCACCAACAGGGTTCCCTCTTTGCCATGGGCACACGTTCTGTGTCCTGGAGACCAGGCCCAGTTTCTCTCTGGATTTGCCTCAGCTCCCTGCCAGCCTGAATCCGAGGAGCCCAGACAAGCTGGCTGGCTAGGGAGGGTCCCTCCACAAGGTGGCATCCCTCACTAACCTGGAACGATCATCAAGCGTGCACAGCTTGGGAGCCGAGGCAACCGTAAGCAGACGGGGGCTGAGCCGACCTCGGGACTGCTCTTATCTCTGAAAATCATACTCTTTCTCTCCTGCGGAGCCACACAGGTGTGCGGGGAGCAGCTGAGACGCGGGCGTCCCAGACGGGCTGCCAAGCTGGCCGCTCGTGCCCAGCCCCACCTCCAAGGAGAACGGAGGCTCCCACCCCACTACCTTGGTTTGGTTCGGAGAGCGGGGGGCTCGGGGGGCTGAG